GGGAGGGTAGGAGGCAGCGGGGATGGGTAAATGATTGAACCATGTGCAGTAGAGGAATGCTGGGCGTGGAGCGAGTACGGTGAGACCCTTTGGACTAAGAACGTAAATCCTAGGTAAAAACTGTCACATAAGGGTACAAAAGTGCTCTCATATCATCGCATATGCCAGTGCTCTTACTTGTGCGTGCTTAAACATATAAACAGAGTCGTTATTGAACAATATGGTTTGGGGCGGGGAAGCAAGTGTACATGTATGTACAGGCGTCCAACAGCTTTGGACTTGAATATGTATATGTGTATAACAGGGAAAGGGAAGGTTAAGCAAACTCAGACATCAAATCTAGAGAAGAGTTTTTTGGCATGCAGTTAAACTGACATATAGATATATTTGGTTTTTAGCTGCTCTGGTGTGATGAAGTAGTCGTGAAAGCGCAAAGTGAAAAGGAAATCAGATGGAAAACCTGACCTTGTTGGATGGATTGTTGGAGTCGGCAGAGGAGTCCGGGGACAAAAAGGCAGGGATAGATGGGATCTCAGTCACACGGGTTTGGTCTTAAGGGATTAATTAGAGGCCGTGGAGGACGTACGTTCCCCTTCCTAACTATTATATTCACAGTGTGGTTTAAAAGTATCTAAGTATTCCTCAAGTAAGAAGAAAGGGCACACAACATAATATATGCCGGCCACACAAATGAAAATCAAGCTGCCTTTAATGCTCTCAGTCCTTTTGTAAATGATAACGGTGGATGAACATTTGTAATTGTGTTTCAGGTCTAGCATTTTGCCTGAGATAAAACTCACAAGTGAACAAGTGGAGTGCCGAACTCACACAATGGGAGACGCACTGACGCAATGTAGGAGATAAGGAAATTTTTTTTAAGACTAGAAGGCCCAGATACGCGGAAAGGTATGTGAAAGACATGGACTTGATAGTATTCAATCTAGATTAACATACTTTTCTAGGTTAATATTTATTGGCACCAAGCCGGCAGTGAACACCTGCAGTAAGCAGTACTGATCAAGGGGAGAGTTGAACGATATTAATTGTGCGGGAGACGGTTTGGAGGCGCGGGTGGAGGGGAAGAAGGCATATTGGTGGGTTTAACTCGGCGGGTGACTGGATAACTAGGGGCTCCTTGGTGGACCCTGGAAACGGCTGCATGCCTTCTTCCAACGGCATTGCTTGCACCACTTACTCTTGTTTATAGCTCCATAAACCTTCCGGCACTTGGCTGCTTCCGAGGGTCGAAAACCAGATTGAGAAATATGCTCTGGAGGGAAAACAGCACCAGCAGTAGCAGTAACATCTGTGACGTCCGGTGTTGGTGGATGCTCGCGACTCAGTGCTAAACCGGAAGAAGTTGTGGCACCAGACACTGTCTCTGAGGGGATGCGTTCGCGTGACAGATGCCGCATCATAGAGGTCGACGGACCCGCCTCCTCCGGGCTGGCCTGGCCTTCGACACCCTGTGCTGCTGAGCTTGAAGGGGGCGGCGATGGATGACAGGTTTGCATAGAGGAGGAGGAGGAAGAAGGACCTGGCTGTCCTTGGAACTGTAAACTACTAGCTGAAGCCAACCGTTCTGTCGAGGGCTTTTTCCGAAGCTGTTGTGCCTCACTTTCGGTCATCAGAAGGAGATCCAAAGCACTGGTACCGGTCATTTTTGGCGCCGGTTTTAAGAACAGGCCCCAGGGAATAAGAACATTGCTAGATAGTTGTTCGGGTTGTTCCTGTTGAGGGAGTAGGGGTAGAAACGCAAACTATAATAAGAGCTTGTTAAAGAGTTCTCAAAATTGTACTCGGAGCATACTGCCAAGGTAAACAGTAAGAATAACATGAACACTTTTGAATTTGAGGTAATTAGAAACGCTGCAGCAGTTAACAGAAGGAGAGCTTAATCAAATGCTAAATGCAAAAGGCTGTAGAAATGGCTCTGTGGTAGCTCCTGATGACAGATGGAAGAACCCTTGATAAAAATCTTCTTGTGCTCCAGCAAATGCAAAGAAAATTCCTAGGAAGCGTTTCAAGTGGTTCCTCTTTTTACCAGTCCAATAACTTCTTTATAATGATCTCACTTTAGGCGTAAAACGTTCGTAAACCTTGTACAACTTTCTTCTTTTCATTATCAATACAATTTTAAAAGCCCGTTGATGAATTACTGAGAAAATCTTTGACGAATTGACCTTTCAAGATTGCAGGTTAATCGACTATGTCTCTCGTCAGTCGATTTGGTTGGGACCGGATGTGGACTCCCTTATCTATAGCTGAAAACCAAAATACATATGAGACAAGAAGTAATAAGGGCCTTTTATGGGAGCCAACGCAGTGCTTTTATGTTTCCGTGGAAGTGCACTCGGATTGTTGGCCTGTCTATAAGATATATACACAAATAGAATTACATTTTTGTTATATACTTCTTTGATGGCATTGAAATATATTTTACAAGAGAGGTATTCGTGTCATACCAAAAACATTTGCGTCTGAGTAAATAAAGACAAGGAGATGTCATTTTTTAATGTGTAAATGTCTTCAAGTCCGTTTTTTGTCATAGTTTTGTTCATAACTCGTGAGTGCCCCGTTGCAACTATAATTTTGGCATTTTTACACAGAGCGTAACAATTAATCATTATGGTAAAAGCAATATAAGACAAAAACGTCTGTTATCGCTGGGTTTCGAGATAAAATTCACATTATTTTCGTAGAGTCCTCTAAGCCCCTATTCGCGTGAAACAGCTAATATATAAATCGGCAATTACGAACGGTGGCGGAGCAACAAGGTACTGATCAATAAATCCGGTTGTTAACTTAAATTTATAAACATACTGTCGTACCGCTAATTGTTGATGATGTTTCATTGAATCGCGAAGAATGGCTTCAGTAAAGAGTGAAAACCTTTCAGTTCAACGCAGACTTGCAACTAAAGTACCCTATAGTGGGCATTCCTGAAGTCGATGAACTGTTTGAAAAGTCACTCTCCTCTGGCCTCGAAATCATCGATGAACCAGTCATCTATTGACAAAATTGCTGGGTTCAGAAAGGTTCTTTTTCACTAACACTTTTGCCATAAAATCAAGGGAGGGGGCACGTAGCTCTGTGCTAATGTACATTTGTGGGCAAAGGAGGGAAAATATCTCCTTGTCGAGGCTGGAAATACTGCAGTTCGCACTTTGTTTGGTGTAGATGTGACCTGTAAATAACACAGGAACGTGATCTTGCCACAATTAATCATTCGTAATTTCAGATTTTTGATTATTCGGCTTGTTCGCAACGGTCTCATCTGTACGCTCAAAAAATATGCATAGGAAAGATACCATTTCACTATATT